AAACACAACAAATGACAATTTTCAGTTCTTTACAACCTATAAAGTGTTTTGAAACTTACTGTGTGTAATAATTTGGAACAGTGCATTGTAAGTTTTTTATGTTTAACAAAAATCCTGTTATTAGGAGGTTTGTTCAATAAAATTTGAATTGTACTCTTAATAGTTGATAACATGAGAATTATGCTGACTGTTATTTACATCAATTATTTAGGTAAATGAGAAAAATATAATTTGCATAATAATTTGGAACAAGGTGTATAAAGTCCAAGTCAGGGCTCAATCCAAGCTCACTGGGAAGTTTCAACTCCCTAACTTCTCGATTTTCCTCCCATTTCCACTCTGCTGCACTACCGGATTATGGATCCTCCTGAAGCATCTCAAATATCAATCCCGGGCCGCCGAAGCAGCGCCCGATACCCATCGTCCAGCACTATTTGTGTATGGACCAGCCTATACAGCTCCATAATCCATTCCTCCCAAGGATTCTTTCCTAGGAATGGTGTATGCAAGTTCAGCTGCTGCCAGTACCTATCTAGGAATGTAGGGAGAATCTTTCCATATTAGTCTTGCTACACTTGGAGAGCCTCCATCCAGAGCTTCCGGCAGATAGCTTCTCTCAATTCCAGCATGTCCTGGGCAGAACCAGGCTCTCCTGGTTGATATTCTCTTGTATTCGTCACTGGAAGTCCGCTTCCATGGCAACAGACTCCTGGAACACTTCTTCGACATCACCCGACACTGGGTCCTGGTGGTGGTTTCGATGTTCCAGACTGGAGGAAGCATCCCCCTGCTTGCCATCAAATGTGACGGAACACCTGTCACCCCGATTTGGTGATTCTATCCGAGAACTGCTTCCTCGTCACTTTTGACACAGGACCAAGGTATTAAAGCTGAGTAATTGCACCAAAAACATGACAAGACTAGCTTAGATGCCAAACAAGAGCTCTTTATTGAACAGAAAACACAGGTTTTATACGCTCCAGAAATCCAGAAATAGGACCCACCCCCTCAGGAACATTAAAGCAAATATTTAGACTTTGAGATCCCACACGGATTAGATAATGAGGTGAAGCTGACATCAGTCTGATCCTATCATGTAGGCACCTCCAGAAGGAATTGCCAGCAAACAATAGTTGACTCAATTAACTCCATTAACAATGGGAATGCAGACCTGGGAGGCACACAATGGGAGAAGATGGCAAATACATAACACCTTAATAAACAGATTAGAGCCAGAGTCCTCAATGTGAGGTTGTTTTGCTGATTTATCAACATAATCTTAGAGTCTCTGAGTCTAGGTAGGAGGGGGGTTACATAGATACATAGTATGGCTGAAAAAAGACAAGACTATCCAGTTCAACCATAAAAAAATTATAATCCTATACCCACAGTTGATTCAGAGGAAGGGAAAAAACTCCCAGCAAAGCATGATCCAATTTGCTCTTGCAGGGAAAAAAAATTCCTTTCTGATCCCTCGAGAAGCAATTGGCTATTCCCTGGATCAACTTTACCTATAAATGTTAGTATCCAGTTATATTCTGTGTATCTAAGAGAGAATCTAGGCCTTTTTTTAAGGCATGCACTGAGCTGGCCAGAACCAACTCTTGAGGGAGTCTATTCCACATTTTCACAGCTCTCACTTTGAAGAAACCTTCCGTGTTTGGAGATTACGTCTGGAGGAAAATAAATATAAAGAGTGCCCCCCTTGTCCTCTGTGATGACCTCAGGGTAAATAGCTCTACACCGAGTTCACTCGGTGAGCCAGTCAGTGCTAGTTTGGGCCAGACACCCCAAATCTGTATCTTGGTCCTCCAGTTCTCAGAGTCTGTGTTTTGGGGAGACATGGTTGACATTGATTTGTACCCTCATTCAAGGGGTTTGACATTTAGCTCCTATAGTGTAATCTCTTTTGCCACCATGGGACCTGATTCTGGTTCTTCAAAGGACCCCTTTGAGAAAATTAGGGATCTTCCCTCATTCTTTTCCAGAAGGTCACCCTTTTGGTTGCCATCATTTCTGCCTCCCTTTTTGGTTTTACACAGAAATAAAGTGGTTCTCCGTCCACATATCTCCTTCTTCTGAAGGTGGTGTCCGATTTTCACCTGAATGAGGAAATTTTCCTGCCTTCCCTATGACCACACTCTTCGCATCTTAGAGGCTGCGGAACACTTCTTGGATGTGGTCTGGGTGGCTCATGTCTACCTATCTGCTATGGCTTTCTTTCAGAGATCAGATGCTCTTTTTGTGATTTTAGATGGCCCAAGAAAAGGCCTGGCAGCATCCTCTGTTCTATTTCTTGATGAATCAAGCGGACGGTTTTCCAGGCTTCTCCTTTACAGCACACTCTACCTACCAGGGTGGTTAGTGCATCTTGGGCATTGCAATATCGGGCATATGTGCCTCAAGTTTTCAAGGTTGCTACCTTGTTGTGCACACCTTTACAAAGTTTGGCAAAGTTGTTTACCCAGCTTTGTTTAAAGTGTCTTGTTCATCTTTGGGGGGGGGGGGGGGGGGGGGCTCTTGCGTGCTCTTCTCTGGTTTCCCACCCTACATTGAGGCAATTCTTTGGGACATTCCTATGGTCAAGAATATGGAAGAACTGTGTCTGTCATGGAACATAAGAGAAAACAGGATTTTATTTTTTTTTTTTGTTACTGTAAAATCAATTTCTCTGAGGTCATTGACTGACACAGCATTTGTGATGAACTGAGCTGTCCATAGCAGAGAGGGGGTTTACTACCAGTTAGGACTGCCCATAGACGGCTCTGTGTTGTTTTTATTTTTTTTTTTCTCTGCCTAGTGTCCTACTCCTAAAGGTGGTGCTTGACCCTATGGTCAAGAATATGGAAGATCTGTCAGTGTGCCAGTTAACACAGAGAAAGGATCTTACAGTGAGTAAAAAAAAAAAAAAAAAGTTTTCCTGATCACATAGTACATCACACAGGCTTCTTTAAAGCACTCCAACTGAATGGTGGGCAGTAGAGCAAACAATGCCAATAAGTTGAACAGAAACCTGTCAAGAAGCGCTTGATTGGCACAGAGAGCAAAAACAGATGCTTGTTTTTAAAAAAGACTCCCAAACTGTTTCCCAAACTGCAATATACCACTGCTATCTGCTGGCTGGTGTTAACTGTGAGGTGGATATTCAGGATAACAGACATTTTTGAGAAGTTTTGTAAATACTCCATGAAATAAAATCCTAATTCATGAGTAATGTAGGTTTTTTTTTTTATGGATATTTATCTAGTCTCCAAAAAATCCAAACACCAGCAATATTTGTTTTATGCCTTGAGCATTTTGATGTAAAAAAATTGAGAAGTGAAAAATGGAGTTACACTAAGGAAGGCCATACATTATTCTTTTTTTTTTTTTTTTTTTTTTTTTTTTTTTTTTTTGTCTGTTCAACCAGCAAGTTTGAATGAAAAAAATTGACCCGCTTCCCCCACCCACACACTTAATGTGGATGGAGGGGAATCCTCCCCACTGAGTCACTATTCATACAACAGGGAACCTCCCAGTCACTGATTGATCGGGAAAAATCTGATGGGCTCGTTGTACAGAAATCGATCAGTAATGCCTTAACTAATGCAGCTTACTAAATTGACCTATTAATAACAAGACAGCATATGAATGTTTTGACTTAGGAATGAGACCTTTGTAACCTTTTATAGTAATATTAACTGAAATCCAAAGAAAACATAAAAACCAAAAGAAACCAAAAACAGTGGACTAAAAAAAAAAATATGAATAAAATTAATAAATGACAAGAATCCAAAACTAAAAATAAAGAAAACAAAAAAGCAGAAGCAAGCTATATATAAATACCCTTAGATGACTATATATAAGGCTATTCCTTATTGTTTACAGCGCTATTTTTTTCCCCCAAATTCCTTAACTACCTTTTAAAATGGGATCCGGATCAAGCTTGGATGACTCCCTCGTGGAATGAAATACATAGTCCAAATTTAAATTTCTGTTAGGAAATTTAAAGATTCCATAGCTGCGAAGATAAGAGTACTCCTAGTGTGTATCAGACAAGATTATATTCGTTACCCCACTCTGCTCTTAATGGTAACTGCAATCCAAACAAAAAGTAAAAAAAAAAAATTATCTCAAAAAATGAATAAAATTAATAAATGGTGATGATAAAAATCGAAAACCAAAAACAAACAACAATGCAAAAAAGCAGCAGCTGTATATAAATATCCTTAAATGACCATAAATATAAGGCTAAACCTTTTTGTATACAGCGCTGTATACAGTAAGGACGTAATTGAGATGTCACATTGACATGACATAAAGCTCAATTGCTGACTGCGTGGTGCGAGGTATTGCAATGCCTCACACTGCGCTATGCTGGAAAAATAAGTACTGCATGCAGTATTTTTTTTTTTTTTTTTTTTTTTTTTTTTTTTTAAACACCTCGCACTACCACAATGTAGTGGTTTGAACTGGGCAGATATAAGACACTGCATGTAGTGTGACTGGGCCCTAAGGTGGATATTTATTAGAACTGGTGCACTCAGAATCTGGTGCAGCTGCATACACATTGACCTGTCCACCTGTGTGTACTAAATTACACACAGGTTTACTCTATTTACTAATTAGGTGATTTATGAAGGCAATTGGTTCCACTAGATTCTAGTTAGGCGTATTAGAGAAAAGGGAGCTGAATACAAATGCACACCACGCTTTTCAGATATTTATTTGTACAAAAATGTAAAAAACCATTTATCATTTTCCTTCCACTTCACAATTATGTGCCACTTGGTGTTGGTCTATCCCATAAAATCCCAATAAAATACATTTACATTTTTGGTTGTAACATGACAAAATGTGGAAAATGTCAAGAGGTATGAATACTTTTTCAAGACGTAGATTTCCAAACTGTTAAGTTTTTAAACCTTGGCCTTTGTTAAAATCGTATCTTAATTTTTTTTTTTTTCTAGTGTTTGCTTTGTTTTTAAATGACTGACTTTTTTTTGTTTGTTTCTAACTAGGCATTACGTGTGATGGCTAAAATAATGCGAGAATGTTGGTATGCCAATGGGGCAGCACGACTTACTGCTTTACGCATCAAGAAAACACTATCACAGCTTAGCCAGCAAGAAGGCATAAAGATGTAGTTTAGCACCCTGGACGAATTATTCTAAATTTTACCTATTTGGTTCACCTGATCTGAAGATTCATTGTTCTACCTCACTGAGGGAACTGCCCGAAATTGCTGCCTTTTTGAAATGTCATAGGATAAACATGAAGCTCAATGCATATATACAGCAAAGAGTATAGTCCTCGCTTATACTGTATGTTGTAATCTCCATCTTCCCAAAACATTTTGGAAATGTGTATTATTATTATTTTTAGTACCAATGATAATGCTGTTTTTTTTTTTATATATAATTCATATGTGCACCCCACCTTGTGCCATTTTTGTTTGTTTGTTTTTTTTTTTTTTAATGTACTGGTGCTTTTAAATTGTAAGTTTTCTGTTCAGCTTAATTCACATAGTCAAAGCCTTTAAAAGTCATGTTGCTCAAATACCTCGTGGTGTTTTCTGGATATCTCTTATGCAACTTCCTTTTATATACAGTATACAATACTACTTGCCTTCAAAATTAATTGTATTACCAGTAAGTGCCACACAGTTTGTATTTATGTATGTGTACACTTTTTTTTTTTTTTTTTTTTTTTATTAAGTACTCAATATTATGCAACATTTTAAAGGTGTACAACAAAAATAGCTACAAAAAAAAAGTTGAACAGCTTTCTAAATTCATGTTTGTCTATAGTTCTTCAGAATTCTTTTGGTGAATCATCTAAATACAAAGTCCTGCTAAAAGTGATATAGGTTTTGAGTGTACAGCAATGACTGGCAGGGGGGTAATATTAAAGTAATAAATCCTAGAGCATGGTATACCTTGACATCATTGGTCTGCAGGAAGGCAGCCAAGATTTTAACTGCCTTTTAGGGAGGTTAATTGGTGTGGATATAAGCTGTCTATAGCTATTGGCTGGTATTGAATTTTCTGTTGTCCACCCAAAATAGATATCGGTTTTGGTTGGACTTGGACATGCACCATTTCACCATTTGATCTTTGTTACAGTTATGTTGTAGATTTGCACATTGTAAATATGTTTGTCCTCCTATATGTGTACTTGGGATGATGGCACAACATAAGGGCATAATGATCACTTTAAAAAAAAATATGCCGGGGGGGGTGTAAGAAAAGAAAATTATTTCTATGCACAAGTCAAAAGCCACCTTGGTGTTCCTGGCACTTGTTGGTGTTGCTTGTTACCATGCTAATGTTGTCTGTTTAAAATTGTATTCCCTATACAGTTAAACATTTGAGAAATATTCATGTATTCATATACAAAACGCAAATATGCTTTTTATACTACCTACAATTAGCACCAGATGTAAATGAAAGCAATGAGAACATTATTGCCCAGAATTTAATTTGCAATGTTTAATGTCTAAAGATTGGTTGCAGTTTAAAAAAAAACTAAAACAAGCTATAAGTAACTATAAAAAAAAAACAGCTGTATATATATATATATATATATTATATATATATATATATATATATATATATATATATAATCAGTGGTTCCAAAAATGAGGTTTACTAGTTACCAGTACTACTCACTGAAAGATTACACCCATTGTAAATGTGTTGCAGGTACATTATAGGGACATTTATTTTTTATTATATTCAGCATCTTGGGAAAAACCTCTAACTTGATGTGTATCCTTTTAATAGAAAAGAAAGCAGTTATTGTGCTGCATTGTTAAATATTTTGGTAGGCAGAATTATTTTACGTACTCTTCAAGGGAAGCTACTGGAGCTGTGCTTTTTCCCAATGAAAAGCCTGCTTGCTAAATGAGCTAAAATATTTGCACCAAGATTATGTCCTACAATGATAAATTAGTGAGGATCATGTTGAATTTTTTAAACCCTCTGTATTTTAATGCTTGTTCCAAACCAGTAACATTAAGCATTTGAATTTTTCTTCACCCAATTATGTTTACTCAAGATTGTTTTAAGGTTTTGTGCTATTTTTTCTTTTGTTTATTCCTATGATTTAAATGTTCCCCAGATTGATATTTTCTGCATAAATGTTTTATCTATGCAGCAGTTATTGGTATAGTACTGTCACACCTTAATGTAAAGAGTAAAAGAGTAGTATGATACAGAGATATATAACAACTTGCCTAATACAAAATGAGTGGAGAATGAACACAGTTTAATTTTTTTTTCCCCAAAAAGGTGGAGTCTGTTTGCAAATTTGGCAAATTAAATATATTTCACAGTTTGTTATGCAAGCAACCCAGGTAAAAATGTAATTTTCAGGGGTATGAAAATGTTTTTTCATGTTGGTAAAAAAAAAAAGTGATGTTTACACCAAATTGGGTACCTATGCAAGTTTTAAGCATACGACACTGACTGTCGCAAATACAAAAAAAAGTTCAAAACTTTCTTGCTGTGTAGTGTGTAAAGATACATAACTAGATATCTATACAGTTCAGGACACAGACAGCCTATTCATACACCATGGATTATAGGCTGTTACTTTCAGCTGCCTGGACATTGGCAAGCTTTTGAGGACACATCCCTGTGGGGCCCCTCCCCTTTAACCCTTCCCTATTCTGAGTCCCAAGTGGCTAGTGCCTGAAGTTGATGGACCTTTTGTCTTTCCTGGAGAAATCAGCTAGATTATTTTTTTTTTTTTCTTTTCTTAGAATTCTTCAGTCAACACCTCACTGTATTCTACCACGTACACAGAAGCAATGTATCCAGATCGATACAACCGTGGTAATACCTTGGGAGCCATAACTAGACTACACACTGTCGATCTTTGCTTTTGGGCATTGAATCCTGCATAAGGCATCATTTTATCACTTGGTCCAACATGTTGGGTTATCCAAAAGGTGCTATAGAGGTCCAGGACCATGGTCCATTACAGTGGAGTCCAGTCCCTGAAAACACCTTTGGGGTATGCTCACCACTATGCACAAAGACTTGACTTTATATACCATCCAGCATCAGGGATAGGCAAGACCGAGCCACCCTGCATCTCTGTCCATTAATGGAAAATTGGGGCTCTGTTTTGAATGTATTCATTTCACAGTGCAGACTTTTCAAACTTGCCTAAAATCCAACCACTCAGAGCTCAGTCTCAGGTGGATGGTTACATATTTTAATGCCGCTAGAACCCTTTTAAAGGTACTGAGGTGCTTCATCCCACCCTTTCACCATTAGGATTATTTGCAGGATGGTTTACACCTGGGTTACTGTGTACTCCTAAACACGCTTACCCCGTCTTCTGCACTCTATTTACCCCACAGGGAAATGCCATCACTTCTAGCTATGGCAGATACCTGGCAAAAGGGAGCCAATTCAAACAGTTGGTGTACATTCGCTCTGCTGGAGGACCGCACAGCACTCAACCAAAGAGTGACAGTGCGTCCCTTGCAATGGAGCAAGACTCGGTTTTAACTGGTCTCCACATCTGATTCTAGCTGTATTTCAGGCATGCAACAACCTGCCTACTTGATAAAAACAAAATTTACTGCATCTGTCACAAATCCTTGGACAGAATATGGCCTTAATACAGCCATTTTTGTCCAGGGCTCAGAAATGCCCCATGTCTTATCCGATTCTCATTTCTCAACCAGATTCAAGCACTGATGTGCCAATTAAGGATGCAGAATCAGAAGAGAATGTTGAAGTAGTGTTGGAGAAAGTTTCTTTTCACTCACATTGCCAATGTATTGAAGAGGGCGCTTCATGCAATAGGCTTGCTTTACATTTTGCTTCTGTCTGGGTCACAGTTGTCCCATACCTGTAGCTTCAGTTGGTAGTTTCAAAGTGTACAAGATAGAGATCAATACTGTACCACCTTGCCACTTTCATTTTTCAAATCAACCAAAAACTGTCCAAGGACAGTAATATTTAAAGAATGCCCTGAACCACCTCTTGTCTCAGGGGAGACTTTGTAACATCCCAGGACAAATTCAAAGGGATTTTACTCAGATCTGTTCACAGTAACAAAGCCCAACAGGGGTATTCATCCTATTCTGAACCTAAAATCTTGTCGCATTCCATTATTTCTCATGGAATCCACAAGGTCAGTAATTGTCTCTTTGACAAGGGAACACGTGACATCTGTGGACATCCAAAATGCCCATCCGCATGTGCCCACATGATGAGGTGGCTCATCAGTGATTTCTGTGCTTTGCAGTGGCAGACAGCTACTTCCAGCTAGTTGCACAGCCCTTCAGCCGGTCCTCTGTGCCCAGGGTATTCACAAATGTTTTGGCACCCTTGCTTGCCTGACTCAGGACATCCAAGTGACAGGCTGTCTAGATGACCTGCTGAAGGATTTGTTTCCCGTGCAACTCTCAGCAACTATCAAAGAGACAATTCAGCTGCTTCAGCCCTTGGCTGGATGATTAGTTTCAATACATTTGCTCTCCAGCCTTCTCTGCAACTAGAATATTTGAGTATAATGCTGACATACATCCCAAGCAAAAGTCTTTATACTTGACTACTTGGTTCCAAGAGAAATTTCACAGTGAGGTTTGAAATAAGAGTTCTGGGTATAGTGGCTGGTGGTAGTACCTTTCATCCAATTCCACTCAAGAACGTTCCAACTAAACATTCTGTCTGTAGGAAAAGAAGCAGGCTCTTTCCCTATACTTGCATAAAAGAAAATGTGCAGAGCCATAAATTCTTAAATCACTTTGATCGAAAACCTCAGGGAAAAAGCACAAAACATCTAAAATAACAAAATTGTTACATGTAGTCCATATGCAGATGTAAAGAAGCAAACAATGTTTTCGCAATCTGAAGCAAGAAGTACCAAGTGAATGGAAAGAAATCTATGATCGTAATAAGACTCGTGAACAGCACCCTATCCAAATAGTACACACTGCAGCTCCTTTTCCACATCCAATTGACCCCTGTATAGATGGTCAAACAGCGCTTAAGGTGCTAGTCCAAAAGAAAGACATAACTATGCTATATGCCTGTGAAGCCCTGCGGCTATACTTTTATTGTGAGTCTGCACTTTTTTTAATAAATGTGACCCTATGGTTTGAAACTAGGGGATTGCTTCTTAT